TCAGACACGACCATGTTTGCGACTGCTGGATACGACCAGCCCTCGACTGATAAATGTGAATACCTAGTCAAAATCTGGGATGCAAAGACAGGCGACCTCGTCGTCATTCTCGAAAGACACACAAATTGGGTATTTTGCCTGGCTTGGACCAAGGATGGAAAAACAGATTGCACAGCCAGATGTGGTGGATTTTATGAGAAGGTGGAAGAGGGGTCGGGGAACATATACCTGAGGAATCATCAGTATGTAGGTATGCAAGTCAAGTCAAAACTCTTACAGAACGATGCCTAACGTGAATTGATCCCGTCCTCAAACTGCGGTATCGATAGCATCGAGTCTAGAGAGCCTAAGACGCACGGATAGGGCGACGATGTTGGACTTTGTACCTTGTCGCTGACGACGTGGATGGCGGAGTCGTCTGTCTTGGGTATCTGCCCGCCCAAAGACAACGCGTCGAGGACACGCTGGAGGTTGCTTGGAAGTTTGGGAGTAAGAGCGGTGGCGGGGTTGACGTCATTGATGATGCACATATCGCGTTCGGGTGTGAATTAGGGAGTTTGGGATAGCACAGCAGGATACTGACATGGAGTCTGGCTTTGATACTTTTGAGGAAGCGCACATATAGTAGTAAGTACTCGAAGCATCAACGTTGCGAGTCTCGGATGCTCTTGAAAGTTGAAGCGCTTCGAAACTACTTCGTCACGATTAATCATTGATTACATAATATTGTCATCCACTGTGACTGCACTACGTCAGCACAGTACACTGAGGTTGCGCTTGCAACAAGTACTGTAGCAAAATAAAGCTTCGACTTGAAGTAAAGCTTCGAGGCCTGTTATTTTATAGTAAATGATGTGAGTCCTGGGACCATTATCTTACATCGTTTAAACTGTTATTCACAACGACTTGCAAAGCCAATTCATCGGGGGATTCGACTTAAGAAACCCACACATCTAGCGAAGCAACAGCTCTTGAAAATTCGGTGCGTGGCTCATGGTTCATTCCAGTCCAAATACGTCGGACATTGACGCATCCTTCGTCTAGCACCAACCCCATGGCAAAGTCCGTCAGTCTGGAGGTCTTTTCATTGTGAATAACGTGAGGGTGTCCACTGTCCAGACTTATCGATCCGATCTAGCTAGACTTATCTAGACGCGGGCCAAGGTGACACATTTCGAGATAACCTCCTTGGTATTAAGTCCGTTCCTCGAATCTTGAGAATTCTATATGGAAGTTGGCACTTGTCACTACAAATTAGCTTGAATTCAACGTTCGATTCCTCAGTTGGAACCTTTTCCCTTCTCGAACGATTTCATCCTTAGGCTTCTCCTGCAATGACTTATTACTTCTCCAACCAGCCGCCTAACTCACAACCACACTATGCGACACCGTACTCAAATAGGGCTGCACAACCGTACTACCGTGACTACGGACCTAGAACCATACCAACAAACCGATGCCCAGTGAGTACTTTTCATTGCAACGTCACGGTGTTTGCGAAGACTTGGGAATTAACTGCTATCATTCAAGTTCTGATACTGGCCTTCTCGAGCAGATTCTCGAGGTCCTCCAGAACCCCACAATTGCCAAGGAAAGAGCAAAGGATGCCCTTTCTAAATTTTGGGCAACATACAAAACTGTGTCTGACGAGTACGACGACGACATGTTAGAGAGGTGTAATGGAAATATGGATATAGTCCTTATCTTCGTGCGTGAAACACGTCGTTATCTCAACAGCATCTAACATGAGTAACCGGCAGGCTGGTCTATTCGCCACTGTCAATACCGCGTTCATCATTGCAATGCAGCCAAATCCTAGTGACACCACCAATGTTCTGTTGGTGCAACTTATGCAGGACATATCGAATGGTCGTTCTGCTACCCAGCCAATCATCCTTCCCTCATCTGCAAGTCTCTCTTCTTCCAAATTATGGATGCAGGCGCTTGCGTATGCGAGCCTTGCATTTAGTCTTCTCGCTGCTTATGGTGCTGTCATGGGCAAGCAATGGCTGGGTCACTATAAAGCAACTCGTTTTGGTCATGGATCTCTCCAAGACCGATGTCGGATGAGGCACCGCAAGTTTCAGGAGCTAAAGGCGTGGCGGTTCGAAAATGTGTTGCGGTCGTTCCCAATTCTTCTACAAATCTCTCTGCTTCTATTTGGTCTGTCCCTGGGGGCCATGCTGTGGGCGATACAACCGCTCATCTCCATCCTTGTTATTGCAATGACTACTTTCGGCGGCCTTTGCCATGCCTTTGCCATCATGGTGTCGTTGATACGTCCCGACAGTCCATTCCAGACGCCTGTCTCCTTGTTCATCCAAGCTGTCTTTCGTCATTTTTGTGCACGTGCGGGCTTCCAGCATCAAAATGAAGATTGTACTAAATCTGCTATGGAGTGGATGTTGGAGATTTCGAGACGCCGTGATGTTTTTAGGTCGGTGGTCGAACTGATGCCTACAATGTCGGAGCTGCCAGACGTGAATCTCGTGTCGTTATGCACTGAAGTTCGAGACATGTTCAAGGCATGTTTTGACCATCGTGGCGTTCCGATACAACGCGACAGCGCACTAGCACATGGACGAACATTGATTTACTGCTCTTCCAATTATCATGATGTGAGGGATATGCTCCACACAACCACACAGGGGTGGAATCTCTGGGAACGGTGGCGCGCCCTGTATCTCCCTCAGGCACTGGAACAATGTAGAACTTCCTACTACCGAATGGGCGACACCAATGATTCAGATTCGAAGTTATCCTTCCAAGCGGACACCCGTGCTGCTCTGCGTATGGCTGTGGCTGCTGGCGTGGATGATTTTGCTCATCCCAATGATGACACATTGATTTGGAATGGTCAATTCCAATTGAAATCCAATCTGCCGGGAGTTGACTGGCTGTTGGACTGCGCAGAGCACTTCTATAAATTTGCCGACGATGACGCAGCTGGAGATGCTCTGCTCTTGTTCAGTGCCAAACCATCACGCCTTACTCAAGACCGCATCATTCCATTTTTGAATAACAACCGGTCACGTAGACTTCGCCATATTGCACTTCGTGCTGCCCGCGAAAGTCTCAGGTACACGGCCGAAGTTGAATTACCTCGTCATCATCCCTTCTCCCATGCTGTTCTGAAGGCCATTTGTCCCTTTGTTCCAAACGGACACGACGAAGACAATTTTCGGATCACCAATGCAATCAACCTGTTCAGCTTCACTGAATGGCCCGAAGGTAGCGATCTGGCGATATCTCCCCTGCCCGAAATCCAGCTTCTTGTATTCCTTGTTTTACCTGCGCCCAACGTTGACGATCTCGCAAGTTATACTCATTACTGCCGTGTCCTCATTCGCTACATGGGTAGAGATCAATTTCATCAGCTCCGCCGTTACGCCGCAAATATTGTCTGTAGCGCCCGACAAGACCTTGTAAAGTTTACCATTGCTGCCGGAGCTGACGAGTCCTCCGAGCTCTGCCTAACCCTCATCACCGCACTCTTTACTTGCAGCAATGATTTGTTTGACTCCATCGACCAAGGTCGTCTTATCCCCTATTTCCGTCTCGTCTTCACTCTTGCAAAGAACTCCGACTGGCACCCTCACTTGATCCAGAATGGCCATACTATCAAAAAGTGGATTATAAGCACACTCCATTCCAGTCGTCTCACTCAACGTCCTCCCTATCCCTTCATTCATCCTCCCTATCCCTTCATTCCACCTCCCTATCCCTTCATTCCCTTTCCTCCCTCTCATTTCATTCCCCCCCACCCCTCTCCCTTCATTCCCCCTCGTCCCTCTCCCTTCATTCCCCCTCCTCTCTCTCTCCCTCCTCGCATTCCCTCGCCCACTCGCACTCGCACTCGCACTCGCACCCCCTCTCGCACTCGCACCTCCTCTTGCCCTCCCTCGCCCTCGCTTCCTCATCGCACTCCCTCGCCCTCGCCTCCTCATCGCACTCCCTCTCCTTCCTCTCCCTCTCGCCATCGCATTCCCTCTCTCCCCTACCAATATTCCTCCACCAATGTCACTAACGAAGAAGCTCATGGTCTTTTTTACCTCGCCGGAATTTCCCTCCGTATTGCTCTACAAGAGCAGGCCGCATCTTACTTTGAAGCCGTCAGAGCCATTCATTGGTGGTACCTGATGAGGGGTGCATGGTATATCATCGAACATTACTCTGATGATGAGTTAAATGATGTTATTGAGAGCCTTCCAGGTCTTGTCAGGGGCACGGAGTGCCACATGCCATCAGATGCTTCGAAGATTGAGCTCGACTCGCTCAATGAGTTGTTGGCCAAAACTCTTGATATGTTGCGACAACAACAAATTCCAGATGATAGTATCATATCTGCAGTGGCGGGTTTGAAGAATACCGTATGCGAGAGATTGCCGGTGGTGGCCCCAGTTCCAGACGGTATGGAGCTGGGGGAGTTTGGAGAACAAAGTGCAGAGGACGCTCTAGATCTTCAGTCCCATGAATCTACATGACTATTTAACCATTGCGTTACGTAGCTTTCCCTTTTATTTTGTCGATTTCATTCCCCTTGAGCTCCAGTATGTAGTCTTTGCATAACGTAGCAATGTATGTAAGATAACCTGCGATTCTGTATGTAGTTTATAGTCTAGGTATGAGTCATTAAGCCGACGAGTCTTCTCGAACCTATGTGTATTGCGCAGGATTGTGCGTTCTTTAAACTAGTTGGCAATGGTATGCTGGATCTTACTGTCGGTCCCAAGAAAACATATTCGCAACCAGGGTGGATATCAGAATTACCCGTAGCCTCGTCAAGAATTAGGATCAGCGTCTTGATTCGATCCTTGATTATGCGGCGTGGTTGCCTTTGCAGTGGTCAGTTAACACCAAATGCCAGATGCAGAGTATCATATTTACAGTGGCGGGTTTGAAGAATGTTGTATGTGAGCTAGAGTTTGGTGGTTTTAGTCCCAGATTGTTTAGAGCTGGGGGAGTTGGGAAGACAAAGTGCAGAGGCCGCTCCAAATCTTCGGCCCCCTCAGTGGATCTAGTACATGACTGCCTAACCGCTGCGTCACTTAACTTTCCCCTGTATTTTGTGGATTACATTCCCCTCCAATATGTAATCTTTGCATGACGTGGTTGCAAGCGCTTCAATGTGGCAATGCATGTTGAAGTAATCTGCGAATCTGTGCGTAGTCTGTAGTCTAGGTATAAGTCATTACGCTGTGTGTTTGGATGCAGAAAGAACGTCATCGAGAGTAATGGAAGATTGTTGGCACATTCCGTGGAATATACTATCCGGCATAGCGAAGAGATTGACCGGGGTATCGAATTCCTGAACGGATGATCAGTACGGGGTAGAACAACTGAAAGATATCTGAGCGTACAGCAATCATCCCAGCATCCATCACGCATATCCTGTCATATCCAATGATGGTCCGGAGACGATCTACATATTTGCTTCAAGTCAATGCAAGGTGACGAGAGCTCTCGAACTTACGTGCAATGCACAGGATTGTGCGTTCTTTAAACTCGTTGGCAATGGTGTGCTGGATCTTGCTGTCGGTCTCGTAGTCAACGGAAGCTACATAGAAACCCATGAGAATATATTTGCTACCAGGGTAAATATGAGAATTACCTGTAGCCTCGTCAAGAATTAGGATCTTGGTGTCATTCACGAGAGCTCTCGCAAGTGAGACAAGAGAACGTTGTCCGATTGACAAATTACTGCCTTCGTCGTCAATAGGACTGTCGAGACTAAATCTAGGCGCCGACTGCCCTTCAACAAGGGGCGATTCCGAGGTAGACGGAAGATCACTGTTTGAATCCACAAGATACGCCCGCTTCATTGCATCACAAAGCTTGGCATCGTCGTGTAGCCCGAAAGGATCAAGGTTAGTCCGAAGAGTACCGGAGACTGTAGTGAAACGGTCAGTTAACAGGTTCCCATATTTAGCGCGTTATCACGCACAAAGAAACTGCAGGCATGTCACATAATCAGCTCAAGTTCAAATAGACGCTACACACGCCACTTACAGCATCCTGAGGTATAATTGACAACCCTTTTCTGAGCTGCGCTAAACCAACGGTCGAAATGTCCACGCCATCAATGGATATCGACCCAGATGCTAGTTCCACCATGCGATAAATAGCGGTCATAATGGATGATTTCCCGGCACCAGTCCTGCATCTCATAAGCCACAGGAGTTACATAGAACAAAAAAGACACTCACCGGCCAATGACACCAATCTTCTCTCCAGGGGAGAGAGACATACTCAGGCCCTTCAGAACGGGTGGTAACTCCGGGCGGTATCTCATAACCACATCCTTCATGACGATTTCGCCATGAGAAGGCCAGTCGGCTGGCGCAGGGCTGTCTTCGACTTCATGTGCGGCCTCCTGTTCGACCTCTTTCGCATAGTGCACGACACGCTCCACGGAATTCATGTTGTTCTCGAGCTCAGCAACTTGGCGTACCATCCATGTGAAAGACTGGGTGGGTCGTCAGATGAAACTCGAACAAAAGGGAACAACGGAACACTACCTGTTGCACCATCATGATATACGAGAGCATCACACCGGTTTGCCCCGGAGAGATATCGAATCGAATTCCAACAGCCAATAGCGCGACGGCGAGAGTCAGCAACGAGCCGAGGAAATCAAGGCGTATGGCGAGCCATCGCTGGTTGGCAACCGTCAGCCAGTAAGCACTGAAAAACATCAGCAACGACGAAGATCGCATGTAATTACAGTTCTTACCGATTCTCGACATCAGTGAGCTGGATATTTTCTACGCGGAACCGGTCGAATTCGCCATAAGCGCGAATGGTAGTCAAGCCCGATAATGACTCAGAAAAGTGAGAGTAAAGCGAGGATCGCAGTAGTGCATCCAGACGCTGTGAACCTTTGCGTGGGCAGAATTTGGACAAACTTGATCAAAATGACCGACCGTTAACTCACGTGCACTCGCACGGTAGAATAATGCAGCATAGTAACAGCAGATGAAGATGAAGAAGGCCACGATAAGAAAATATGGTATGATGATGGATATGAGAATGATTGACCCAATGATTTGTGATGCCATTGATGTGAGCGTCCTGAGGGATTCTGAAAACACAGGTCTTATTCTCGTCAGAAGTGATTCACGAAAGGACTTCGATGCTCAAGTGCTCACCGCCAATTAAATTATCCACAGTGTCAATATCTTCCATTTTATGTTAGAAAATCCGGAGGATCGAAACCTTTTGAAACATACCTTTGGCAAAGCGATTCATAATGCGGCCTAAAGGCGTTGTCTCGAAGAAACTCATCGGGGCATACATGACTCGCTGAATCGATCTCTGGCGAATGGAATTAGGGTCAGCATCCACCAACAAGTAACGAGGCAATTACCCTGTGCAGCTGTTGGGAAGCATAGTAAGTGAGTAGTGCAAGTACACCTCCCATCATGAACGTTGTCAACGCCTGGGAGATACCAAGAGCAGCATAGATGCCAGTCTGCATTGACAACCATCAGCGATGCGTCGGTCATGTCCAACAGAAAAACTCACATAAAATCCTGCCGTTTGGTGCCATTTGCTATGAAGGTGGTGAGCACTTAAATTTATAGGAGTCCGTGACATTCACGCACTCTTCTTCCCAGTAAATGAGCCTAACGAACTACATTAGCGAAATGACCACAAGATGCGGAAATCACGTACCAATACGAAGACATGACACTGCAGCATTGCATGAAAATTACAGAGAGCAGTAACAGTGGCAAGAGCACGGGTCCGTGAGCTGCTGTGAGATACTCTTGGTATACTTCCCACTTTATGGCACCAGTGTTGCGTTCTTCCTCTTGCATCATCGCTTTCACAGTGGTTCCTTTCTGAATTTTCTTGTCTTCGATCTCTGCACCCTCCACTGCTTTCTCTTCTTTCTTCGTAGAATCCTCCTTTGACCCAAATTCCGAGACAAATTTCGAGAATGCACTGTCATTAGCCATGAGTTCGGCGTATGTGCCACGTTCGGCAATGTGCCCGTCAACCAGAGTATATATATAGTCGACCTCAGGAAGGAAGTGGAGGGCATGGGTAACCAGGATGCGAGTTTTGTCTGCGCTTTTCTTCAACACATTCTGGAATACTGCCTTTCCGACGTGTGCATCAAGAGCAGACAGTGGATCGTCGAATATTTGGATGTCGGTATCGCAATAGATCGCGCGACATATGTTGATGCGTTGCTTTTGGCCGCCAGAGAGTGAGATACCCTGTGCAAAGCATCGGTTAGTAGTCCTGCAGGACGAAGAACAGACATTGCCTTCTCGCCAACTTCTGTAAGGTCGTAATTGGGCAACATCTCCAAGTCAGGCTCTAAGCATGCATCTCGGACGGCCTTCCAGTAACGCTCCTCTTCAAATGGACGACCGAAACAGATGTTTTCCCGAATGGTTGTATTCTGTTTTTCTCTTAGTCACCAATGCCAAAAGACTAATCAGCGAACCTACCTGGATCCAAGCGACTTGGGCACAATAACCAACGGAGCCACCAAAATCAACGTTACCGGAAGTGCGCCGCATTTCGCCAATAAGACCTTGAAGGAGGGAGGTTTTTCCCGCGCCGACGGCTCCAACAATGGCAACGAGTCGGCCCCGAGGAATTTCCATGTCAATGCCCGTAATTTTGAAGATACTTCCATCATCTGCAGGAGCTGGTAAAGGCGTTGAAGGGAGCTTTTGCTTGCCCGTCTTCATGCCCATCTTGCTGCCCTTACCCATCTTTTTTGTATCCTCAGGCCGATGGGGCGGACTGTCCCAAGTAAAGCTGGCACCTTGAGCTCTGACGGCGACGTTCATGTCGCTATTTGTGACGAGTGTCTCGTCAAGCGTTTCTGCTTCAAAAACAGCCAGCAGTCTGCCGCATGCTGTGGCTGCGTCAGCAATGCTGCTCAGAGACAAGGCTGGAAAGGCATGTGAGATTACAGACTGCAAATTCCAATAGATGACGCACGTAAAAACATCAAAGGCATGCGGGCTAAGTTGAACAAGGTCAACGAAGTAAATACAGTCGCTGCTGTAAGACTGTGTCCAGTTAACGAATATGTGACGAAGGCAATGACAGAAGCGATAGTCGGGACAGAGATGGCAACGGCGTTCATCGCGGCTCTCATGATCAGGAGGGTGCGGATATATCTGGATGGGAAATAAATATGAACCAAGACACGGGCAGTAGGTGGAAATTTCACGCACGCCATCTCGTTCCGTCGATAGTCAGAAATACGCTTCAGGAATGGAACTTCCCAGGAAAAGAACTTGATGACACGCATGCCGCTGAGGACCTCTTGTAAGATCTTGGAACGCTTGTCTGTCCACACCATGCTTTTCATGCGAAGGGAAAAGAGGCGTTTTATAACATAGGTCTGGACGGGCGTCGCAACAATGAGAAGGGCAAAACCGGCGAGTGCACTCGGGCCGAGATTGATCAATAGCAAGACCAGGCAAATAGTGAGCTGAATCACAGCCGTCCATGACATGTGGAAGTAGCCCAGGCAGAAATCTATCCGCGAGACATCAGTAGATATGTGGTTGACTAACTCGCCATTGCTTAAGTTGACGCGAGCTCTCGCGCTTAGTCGAAGTGATCTCGAGTATATTGCCGTGATAAGACCGTCACGAAGAAGGACCCCACTGGACATGCTACGGTAGAAGAAGTGATTGGTGCACCATGACGCGATGAGTTGTAGAGCCAATAAGCCAAACGCAAGGCCAATTCCCTCACCAATCGGAGGCGTTGATTGACCAGTTAGATGGTTTGTGTAAGACACCGTGACAAAATTAATGATCGCCTACAGACACCGACATGAGTGATTGGGGAAGACATTTTGTGGAAAAATTGTGACCTTGACGACAAGGGGACTAGTAATTTGTGCTGTGTCACCGATGACTCTCAAAACACCAGCAGACCAAAACCACCAAAAGATACTGTCATTCATTGCCAAAATGAGACTTGCTTTGCGCTTTCCGTCCTTTTCCCTCCATTGCTTCTCGCGTTCTGTGCGAACGCCCTGTATGGACCACCATAAACCCTTCAACCCTGGGCCAACTTCACCTTTAGCCAAACGCTCGTTATATTCAGCAGCCTTCTTTTTCCGAGTCTTGAACGATGTTAAAATGGCATCGGCAATCGGCAAGGCGCTGCATTCTTCCTGGAGTCGATAAAGGTCGGATGACTCGAGTGGACGAGCATAGCCAAGGGAAAGCAGAGGTGTTATCCAAGTGAACCATAGAAGACTAGCGAAGCCAGCCGTGGCTTCAGGGATCAGATCTGCGTCATGAATAGATTTCTTTGGGGGAGGTGGACTACCATTCCTCCCAAACAGAAAGAGCCTAGGACACATGGAGAGATCGTTAATAATGTAACCATGTCATAGCGGAAGGTGGAAGGCGAAATACTGGTAGGCCACAAGCCTACAACCGTAACCTCAAGATAAATCTAGTAGTACTCACCAAGATATGAACGACTGTATGGTTCGACCATTGCCTGACACGGACTCCGATGCCCGGTGAGCCTTCTCCGAGTCAACGGTGTCGAGCTCAACATCTTGGAACTTGACTCGTTTAGAAGGCGCCATCACTGAAGGGTGCAGATACAGATCCTGAACCCTGGTAACTGGTCTCGTATTAAGTACTGTTGATAAGTACGTATGTACAGTTACCCGAAGCGTTATACCGCTGACAAAATTCTAGGACCATTACTCAAAAAGACGATCATCGTATGACGGACACAAGCGGACAAAAATATCCACTTGACTCTTTCTTTCGTTTCCCGATATGGAATTTCCATTTCAATTTCGATTTTCGCTTTCGATTTTCGCTTTCGACTCTAGCTTTCACGTTCGACTTTTTCTTTTGATTATAGTCTTTGCTTTGGGTTTCGGGCATCGGGCATCGGGCATTGGGTTTGCATGCGATCACGTCAGCGTGACTTGTGAGTGCATCACTGTGTGGTAAGCTAGCCAACTGATAACTCGTTCACCGACCGTCACAAGTGCCCGAGGGCAATTCAATCAACAAATATTTATGATTCTTCCATGCAACTCGGCGACAGACTCGGAGTTCACGTCACACTCAGGACACAACTTGAATGCTCAGTGCCACCAAAAGGCAGTCTGCCTCCAATTCCTCGAAGCTATTGAACAGGTGTAGTTAATTGTGGTACTGTTACGACACGATCCCAGGCTGATGCACGTTACACATCTAAGCATCTAAATATCATACCACCTGCGGAAAGACTTGTAATCGAAGCCAGCGTAGATCGCATGATCCAAGAGCTGGATACTGCGACAGTATCATCTGATCCACCGGATGCAAGCCCCATCACCCTAGGAAGTCATGTGCATGCCGGTACAGTTGGAAGACCCAGCATCGATATCCTTCCATCCGACCTCGCTGTCTTCTCTTCGGGTGGAGTGTCAAAGAGGCGCATGGCCGAACTATATCATTGTCATCCCCGAACCATTCGTCGTCTGCTACTCGAATTCAATCTGTCGCCTCCTGGACCCCCCCGTCTATGTGGATGAGCAGCAGGCTGACGGTGTCTTTATCTACTGCTATAACTTCATTTATTGGTCGTCTTCCTATTTCTGTCATGTTCGATCTAGCATCGCACTGTTGTCTTGTCACTGCTTCAATTGTTCACTCGCTTGGCCATTCGTGCTCGTGCGCTGACCTACAGCACCTCCCAGACACGCCAGTCAAAAATAAGCCAGGAGTGTGAGCGGATGCACTTCGAAACCCTTGATTGAAATCGCTGAGAATTTGTCTGCTGGCGCCCTTCATACCGTTATATGTATCGCCTCAAATCCCAGCGAGGCGCTCCGAGTCAGCGCGGTGGCACCAATATTAGATATCAATCTCATCTAGATCCCCCCGGATTTAGATGCAGGCCAATTCGAACTTCTATCGATAAGAGCCCTTCTGCACTGAGCGCTTTCGATTAGTGGTAAACCGGTTTCGGGTGCAAGAACGGCGTCTATATATGAAGAGCCTTTCCGCATAGTTCTTGTCACCAACTTGAATTGAAGGGTGTTATGTTTCAAGATAAGGCTGGGAGGTCTATGTGCTCCTGGTCTATAAAATCAATGAGTTCAATGCAATATGATCTATCATATCATGTATTCTTATCAAAGGCAGTACACACGATGAAGTGGGACTGAAGAAGTTCATGTCTTGGATCTTTCGTGGGAGTTGGCGCTTGTCACGTTCATCAATGAAATGGCATATGACCCCGCAAGCGGCAAGGTGATAACCAGTCGCGAAGAGAAGGCAGCATCAACGAGAAAAAAAACAGCGCTGAGAACACAGGATGGTCACACTGACTATGTATGTAATCCGTATTACGCATACAGTTGTCCCAATTTCGACTAACTGAAATAAAAAAAACATCCACAGTACCTTGTCGACTATCCATGTATCATGTACATATAGTACATGAATAAAATGCAGAGTGAAAATCGATGGGTGCTTGCACCGTTACCAATTGGATAGATACTATTGGGGGGGTGTAAGGATGAGCACGGATAAGCATAACCATATGCCGAGTGTATGACAGATAGGCCGCACTATGGAACGGGTTTACTTACATGTGAAGATGTATTACCCAAAACATGCTGCTGTGGCACCAATATCAGATCTCAATCCCCCCAGATCTAGACGGGTCAATCCAAACTTCTATTGATAGGAGGCCTTCTGCAAGCGCTTACGATCGGTGGTAAACCAGTTTTGCATGTAGGACACTAGGAATGGTGTCTAATATGGAGAGCCTTTCCGCATGGTTAACTTGAATAATGGTGACATGTTTCAAGAAAGCTGGGAGGTTTGGTTTATAAGATCGACAGGATATAAGGTGGCAGTACCCACGATAAAGTCTCGACATCAAGTCCACCTCCTTGGTAAGTTCGTGCCTTAATTCTACGTGGAAGTTGGCGCTTGCACCGTAAGCGCTGCAGATAAACGAAACGCGGATGGATCCCTTATTGCCACCGAGTGTACGAGTTCTTTGTTCTCATTGTACCAATTGTACCGCCTCGAGTCCCCGCGAGGCGCTCAGCGCGGTGGTAGATATCAATCTCATATCTATCCTCCCATACGCGGGTCAATTCAAAACTTCTATCGATAACAGACCTCATGCCTTGGATCTTTAGAATTCTATGTGGAAGTTGACGCTTGTCACGTTCATTTACTATTATAAATCAGCTTGAATTCAGCGTTTGATTCCTCAGTTGAAACCTTTTCCCTTCTCGAACGATTTCTTCCTTAAGCTATGCCAATGGATGATTACGACTCTAATCAGCCGCCCAATACAGGACCACCCTATAGGACAGCAGGCCAAACTGATCCCAAGTGAGTACTTTTCATTGCAACATCACGGTGTTCGTGAAGACTTGGGAACTAACTGATATCATTCAAGTTTTGATACCGGCCTTCTCGAGCAGATTCTCGAGGTCCTCCAGAACTCTACAATTGCCAAGGAGAGAGCAAAGGGTGCGCTTTCTAAATTTTGGGCAGCATACAAAACTCTATCTGGCGAGTACGATGACGACATGTTAGAGAGGTGCAATGAAAATATGCAGATAGTCCAGATCTTTGTACGTGAAACACGTCGTTCTTTCACCAGCATCTAACACGAGTAACTGGCAGTCTGGTCTATTCGCCATTGTCAATACCGCGTTCATCATTGCAATTCAGCCAAATCCTATTGACACCACCAATGCTCTGTTGGTACAGCTTATCCAGAACACAACAATCTGTTGTTCTGCTACCCCGCCAACGAGCCTTCCGCCATCTACAGGTCCGTCTTCTTCCAAACTATGGATGCAGGCCCTTGCGTATGCGAGCCTTGGATTTAATCTTCTCGCTGCCTATGGCGCTATCATGGGCAAGCAATGGCTGGGTCACTATAAGACAACCCGTTTTTGTCGTGGGTCTCTCGAAGACCGATGTCAGCAGAGGCACCGCAAGTTTCAGGAGCTAAAGGCGCGGCGGTTCGAAAATGTGTTGCAGTCATTCCCAGTTCTTCTACAGATCTCCCTCCTTCTATTCGGTCTGTCCCTGGGAGCCATGCTGTGGACGCAACAATGGCCCATCTCCATCCTTGTTATTACAATGACTACTTCCGGCGGCCTTTTCCATGCCTTCTTCATCATGGTGTCGTTGATACGTCCCGACAGTCCATTCCAGACGCCTGTCTCCTCGGTCATCCAAGCTATTTTTAATAATTTTCATGCACATGTGGGTTTCCAGCATCAAGATGAAGATTCTGTCAAATCCACCATGTCGTGGATCTTGCAGACTTCGAGAAACCCTGATGTTGTCAGGTCAGTAGTTGAATTGATACCTACAATGTCGGGGTTGCCAGATGTGGATCTCGTGTCGCTGTGCACAGAAGTTCGAGACATGTTCAGGGCATGTTTTGATCATCATGGCATTCCCATACTACACGACAGCGCACTGGCATATGGAAGAACGTTGATCTACTTCTCTTCTAATGATGACGATGTGAGGCATATGCTCCACACAACCACACAGGGGTGGAATATCTGGGAACGTTGGCGCGCCCTGTATCTCCTTCGGATACTGGAACAATGTAGCGCTTTCTACTGCCGAATAGGCAACACCAATGATCCAAGTTCAAAGTTATCCATCCAAGCAGACACCCGTGCTGCTCTGCATATGGCTGTGGCTGCTGGTGTAGACGGTTTTGCACATCCCAATGACGATGCATTTATCTGGAATTGTCAATTCGAATCGATACTCTATGTTGCGGTCCCGCCGGTAGTTGACTGGTTGGACTGCACAGAGCACTTCTATAATATTGATGACGTCGACGCAGCTGGAGACGCTCTGCTCTTGTACGGTGACATACAGAGAACACCATTACACCTTTTCCAAGACCGTATCGCTCCATTCCTGAATGATGGGCGGTCACGTAGATTTCGCCATATCGCACTTCGTGTCGCCTGCCGGAGAGCTGCCGGCCGGCCAGAACTCTTCGACATATTCACGGACGAGCTTTATTATCCGAGTCATTCCTTCTCCCATGCTGTTCTGAGGGCCATCTGTCCCACGGTCCCAAATGAACACGACAAAGACGATTTTCAGGTCACCAATGCGATCAACCTGCTCAACTTCACTGAATGGCCTGAAGATAGTGATCTAGCGATCTCTCCCCTGTCCGAAATCCAGCTCCTTGTACTCTTCGTTTTACCTGCGCCCAAGGTTGATGATCTCGCAAGGTATGCCAATTACTACCGCGCACTCATTCGCTACATGGGTAGGGATCAACCTTATCGGCTCCGCCATTACACTGCAAATATTATCTGCAGTGCCCGACAAGACCTTGTAGAGTTCACCACTGCTGCCGGAGCTGATGAATCCTTACGAGAGTCAGTGCTCTCCGAGCTCTGCCCAGCCCTCATCACCACACTTTTTACTTGGAGTGATTCCGTCCAGTCAGATCGTTTGATCTCCTGTTTCCGTCTCGCCTTCACTCTTGCAAAGAACTCCGACTGGCATCCTCACTTGATCCAGGATGGCTATATCGAAAAGTGGATTACAAATACAATCACTTCCAGTCATCTTGTTCAATGTCCTAGCACTCCCTCTCTCATTCGCCTTCCCCCTCGCGGTCCTCCTCACCATCCCCCTCGCAGTCCCCGCATTGTAGAATTCAAATTCTCTTATCCTTCTCTCCTGTTTGCATGATCTCTTCGCCCTCGCCCTCCCACCAATATTCCCCCACCACCTGTTGCCATTGGGTTTTCCTCTCTCCATCCCATCTGCTCTCGCTTTCCCACCCGTTCTCTCTCTCCTATCTGTTCTCAATCTCGCTCTCCCTTTCGTTCTCCCTTTCCCCTTCCCCCTCCCCATGAATTGATTCATTCTCGCTCTCCCCTTTCCCCTCCCCATCTCTTGTGTCCTTGCTCTCCCACTCATTCTCGTTCTCTCTCTCCCATCCATTCTCCCATTCCCCATTCCCCTCCCCATGAATTGATTCATTCTCATTCTCGCTCTCCTACTGGTTCTCATTCTCATTCTCGTTCTGGCTCTCCCACTCATTCTCGTTCTTGCTCTCCTATCTGTTCTCATTCTCCCACTCATTCTTGTTCTTGTTCTCGCTCTCCCACTCATTCTCGTTCTTGCTCTCCTATCTGTTTCTCATTCTCCCACTCATTCTCATTCTCGTTCTCGCTCTCCCACTCATTCTTGTTCTCATTCTCATTCTCGCTCTCCCATCCATTCTCGTTCTTGCTCTCCCACTCATTCTTGCTCTCGTTCTCGCTCTCCTATCTGTTCTCGTTCTTGTTCTCCTCATGTCCATCCCATTCATTCTTGCACTCACTCTCCCTCTCGTACTGGAGAAGCTCGTCGTCGCTTTTACCTCACCGGAATTGCTCTCCGTATTGCTTCCCCAGAGCAGGCCGCATCTCGCTTTAGTACCGTCACAGCCGTGCATTGGTGGGACTTGATGAGGGGTGCATGGAATATCATCGAATCTTACTCTGATGATGAGTTGGATGATGTTATTGGAAACCTTCCAGCTCTTGTCAGGGACACGGAGTGGCACATGCCATCAGATCCTTCGAAGATTGAGCTCGAATCACTCGATGAGTTGTTGGCCAAAACTCTTGATGTGTTGCAACAACACCGAACTCCAGATGAAAGCATCATATCTGCAGTGACGGGTTTGAAGAATATCATATGTAAAAGATTGATGGACCTGGGGGAATTTCGAAGATCTAGAGCCCGCCCACCTTCGGTCCCGCATATGGCTGCTGTAGACTATGAGGAGCCCAGATTACCTACATCCTAGTATAGACCAGGTATGAGCCCTTACACCGAGGAGTCTTCTCAAACTTATGTGCAATGTACAGGACGCGTTCTTTAAACTCGTTGGTAATGGTACGCTGGATCTTGCTGTCGGTCCCGTAGTCGACAGAAGCTACATAGAAATTGACGATAATGTATCAGCTACCAGGGTAAATATCAGAATTACCCATAGCCTTGTCAAGAATTAGGACCCTGGTGTCATTCACGAGAGCTCTCGCAAGCAAGACAAGAGAATGTTGTCTGATCGACAAATTACTGGCTGGAATTGAAGATATCACAGCATCTGTTTGAAGGCACAACCACGCAAGAAGAATATCAAAGAACAATATTCAGCACATAAAAGCCAACCGTCTTCCTACAGTCTTCTTCAGAATTGTCTGATCCGGTATCACAAGTCACAAAGCAATGCATTTCTCCTCTGCAATTGTCCTTGCTGTCATTGTAGCGGCTTTAGCATCACCAATCTCCGCCACATGTTGATGCAGCTGGCGCCAATAGGACATGTCCTACATTTTGCTGGGATTTGGATGGCTGTCCTCTTCAGATATGTGTGAGTATCAGTATCTTTGGTTTTGATAACATGACTCACCGGCTGCATGGCCAGGCTGTTGGCACTGATGTGTGAGTTACATCATACAGTAAACTGGTGGTGAACTTAGAACATCATATTTAACTAGGCTCATGACCAGCCTGGCGTATACTACCACGGATACTCGAGTGGTGTAGTGTGGCACTCAGGGAGTGTTCACACGGTAAGAACGAGTCGAAGACGAGAGAATAAACTTAAGGATTCAAACAGGGTAACTGTCCGAACTAAAATGTATTCAGTCGGGAAAAGATCAACTATGGCTACAGTATCTCAACACGGGTTTATATACTGTAGGGCTACTAATCTCATGTAAGCAAAGGAAGGGGAGAGAAAACGAAAGAACTAAGTGCGTGCCGACGAGGATATTGCTGATGGGGACCAATATCCATCAAAGGCTTTTGCCAAGCGTAACATACGCCCTCCAGGTCCACTCATAGAGGGGACCTTTAATCAAGGTGAAGCGAGAGGGATAGTCAATTAGGACCGGGTCACAGAAGCGAATGCAGCTAAGAGGATGGCGAGGGTGAGCACATTGGTGACTAACAACCCAACAGAGACAACTCTACCGAAGACATCTTCGTGGGTGATGTCAGGCATGTTGACGGTCTGTTCTAGGTCCAGCTGTTCTGCAGCCGCGATGATCTCTGAGACGTCTGGCCCGGGGTCAGGGACCAGAACGGCAGGTGCAGGAGCAGTAGCAAGGAGCGTGGCAGCGTTATTAGTGGCATCAGCGATTATCTGAGCTGCAGTAGGAAGGGCAGGGCGTGGAGCAGGCTTAGGTCAAGGCTGATGAGGCCTTCTACCCCGGTTGAGAGCAAATGGCTGACCACGCGGGTGACCACGATGGTCAAGGGTCAAGTTTCGACCACATGGCCGATAGGGGGCAGCATCCTGAGACTGTTCAGCACAGACGAGCTGATCAAAGGCATGGGCCTCCTTATGGGTCGCGAGCTCTTCTGCAAAGGCAAGACGACCATGGTAAGCAGGAGGGTGAGCAGTAGCTCTTTGAGTGGGCTTACTGGCTTGCGCCTCAGCATGGAAAACATGCGTGAAAGCGCTCAGAGCGTCAGAGTTAGGCTCCCGCTGGCGAGGAGGATGAGTACGCCCTCCTCGTCCTCTAGAGGAATGGCCAGACCACCCTTGCTGTGAGTGAGGAGGCCAGTGAGTGTCAGCCAGCTCACCGGGCTCAGATCCAAAGGATGGCTCATCAATGGACATAGCGTCGGTGGGGATGCATCAGGAAAACTACCGGTTGCTTTCTTTACTTTATTTGACACTTAATTATTTAAGATGCTGGTGTTCCCACTTAATAGACTTTTGCAAAAGCGCGTATTGAAACTCACAAGTCCAGAGGGCAAAAAGCGAAAAAGTGAACAAAACAAATTAAGTGCATTAAGCAGTACTAGACTAGTAGTAGTAAGAGTCACATGTGCTAGTATTGTCTTAGGGGTCATCCAAAAAAAGAAACTGTAGGCAGATGCTGATTATCAACTCAGAGTAAGTACTACTCAAGACTGAAACACTATCGACTCACATAAAACTTTAATGGCACTACAAAAATGGGTCCTATGAATCCGTTGAGTGACCTACACGCTGTGTAGATCATGGATCACTGATGCAATTGACAGCAATTAGCCCGATACGTACCTCCACAACCGGCGCCAAAGGCACCACAGATCTATCGGGGACAAAGGCAAAGCGCGGTGGATCAGCCAGAGGTAGCGGATGCAGCAATTGGGCAGGGTGTGTAGCAGCTGGAGGGGTGAGAGTGGGGTTCTGGAGGAGGTTGAGGGGGTTTTTGAGTTGTGGGAACCGAGAGTCACTCGAGCATATCCACGATGCCGTGTAATCGTCGAATTTCTGCAAAATGGATTAAGGTAAGAGGCGTCGTCATACATGATGAGCTGGGGGCTTACTTGTTCATAAAAGGTTGAAGATCCATATAGTATTCCTTCCATTCCAGCGAATTGTTGTATTCCAGTTGCGAGCAGCGTCATTCAATGTATATGCAAAAAGTTTAAAATGTGATTTCAAAGGCGTGGTGATTGGCGTATTTGTTAACATAGAATGTGCGGAAAATGTCGTAAGTGTGATGGTGCTGATGTTGAGGAGAAATGGGTCGAGTACCATACACAGGAATAAGGTGTGCAGCACGGTAAATCGAGTCGATATGAATAATAGAAATATGGGGAGAGTTGTTGGCATTATGAGCAGGCTGTACCATCCACATTCCGGTGTCTTCATCAGGTGAATCTCCAATGGTATTGAACCATCTCACGACTGTGCATGGGTAGAATTCAGCCCTGTATGTAAAAGAAAAAAAGTCAGTACTCGTGCAACATCCATACCCCTCATTCCATCAAGAGCCGGGTTTGTATTGACAAATACACAATCATAATGAGGGTGCTCATTTCTCCATATTGGACATGCGCATATATACTCACAATGCATGCCTCCGATACCGCTTAGATAGCTCGGGGCAAAGAACCTCGAACACGCAGAGTTGAAAACATTTATTTTCTCGTCATATTTGGGACAACGAGTGAGTGGAACCTCAGAAGGGTCGCGTGCATCATCAGGATTAAGTTGGCTGAATAGAAAATGGCGCAAAAGATTCGAGAATTGAGGGATTGACAATTCAACTGCTAATGCAGTGACTGTGCAAGCACGTTTGTGTTCTATATCATATGTTAGATCAGGTCAACAAAACAGAGGCAGGATCACTTACGAGGTGTTTTCGCCAACTCAATGTGTGCTTCAATGTTCATTGGCCCATTGTCAACTTCATGACCATTGTTGTCCTGGTCATCTGAGTCTGTGTCGTTGACAGTGCAGCGTGCAGCTGGATTTTCCTGTAAGTCCCATCAGGAAAAAGTGTTCTGACTGGTAGCACCACACCAACACTATGCTGCGCTCGGGAGTCTCGGTAGCATCTGGTAGCTGGTCTTGTAGCACCCGGGCAATGGTAGCCACAGACCTATGTTCCATAGTTGTAGGTAGGCAATCAGACAACGCACAGACCTATGTACAACAGCAAAACTACTTGCACAACCACACCACACTTGCACGCTGAGGACCGAGCAAGCTTTTATGACAAATGCTGTATTGTATCAAATAAGTCAAAATTAATGTAAGGATTGAAATAAAAATCGTTGGTGAGCTCAAGCACATCACCATTGATCAATGATGCTTCCACCTTGCTTGATCCAAACCTGGGCATCAGATGGCCCGCCTGCAAAAAATCTTGAATGCTGACTACAGCTGTGAACCGACGTTGGTTACAAGTTGACTGTGCAAGCCGATAGAGCTTTGTCGTGGGCTCCGGCTCACGCAGTGGGCGGAACCATTCAATATATGCGAGCGGGTGACTGAAGTTACCATAGTGAGATAGCAACTTAAAAATCACACGTATCTGTGCGACTCGCAAGCCTGCAAGTGTATAAGGACAACACTTCAAAGCAGGAGCTGATAGACATACCATCAAGACCTCTACCAATCTCCCATAACTCACGATCTTCAATGACAAATGCCACATCAAAGTGTGCAGGCGAAGCTGGCTTCCGACGGTCGCGGTTGGGAATAGCTGGGTGTGCTCGAAGCTGATTCAACCGTTTGAGGTCGCTGATGTGGTTTTGTTTAGGCAGCAGAAGCAGAACAGATTTGAACACGTCAAAGTGATCATACTCGCTGGCAGAAATTGATGAATGGGGAAAGTGACGGGTGAGGAATGTTTGAAGTGCAGGTACAAGTCGATGGCACCAAAAGCAGTCTGCAGACGAGACACAGACACATTCAAAAAAGGGCAGCTCTTGGTCACACGGTAGCCATGTGAGGCAAGCAGACCAGAAGGAATGAACTGAGATGATAACAAATCATGACTCCCACCATCCAAAATGGCAACCTCATCCCCCTCCTCATCAGCCTCAAGTGTGTCTAAGTTGAGTGGGCATTTGCATTGTGAGGCGATCCATTCAAGGTAGATTCCATGGCGAAATATGGCCTCTTGAAGTTCGAGCCAGTGAGTCATTTGGGCTATATAATCCACTTTGCTGCTTGGCTGACAGGCATCCTTCGCGTAGTCGATATGTAATCGTTCAGGGCTTTCTGAGTTGAAACCATCCGCGCTGCCCAAAGAACAGATTGATTGGACATAGTGGCGCATGGAATGGATCTTGGGAATGTTGAAGTGTTCACGAAGGCCCAGCTCAACAAATACTTCCTTGTTGGCATGAAAAACATCCAGTGCGTCTGCCATCCGCATGAGAGTTGTGTCCATGTGTGCCTGATACTGTGCATAGTAAATGAAATCAAGGACAGCACGTGCAGCCTGGAAGATGTGGGATTCTACAGCACCTGCAATAACACCTAAAATGACACGCTGCATTTCCTTATGCTCAGTGCAAGTCCACTGAGAGACCGTCAATATTCCCCATTTGAAATGGCGCAGCCCATGGAACTCGGTCATCACTTGAAACTGTCTGTCGAACTCAGAATCAGACATGATGGTAGCACACCAGGTAACCACATGATCTTTGAACACTCCCTTATGTAACTGGTGGAGGATATCAGGAGTGATGCATGAGAAAATATCAGTGTGCGGGAGATAAGCCCAGAACGGATAATGGATGGCACGAAGTCCTTGATCTTCGAATAGATGAGGGTCCTCCCCATTTTGATGGTGTCTGAGAGTTGTGCGAGTCTCAACGACGTTTCAGAGAGGTGATTTAATGTGGTCTCCTCGTTGATTGGGTCTCACAACACAACGAGGGCAGTGATTTTCTTTACAGCAAGCGATGAGACATTGCTCAGGGTGATCCACGATGTATGCCACAAGAATTGGAAATATCCGACGGATGTTCCTGTCAGCACAGACCATGTTGATGCTACAACGCCCCGCCTCAATCAGTGGTTCCATGACCAACCGCATGCAGTTATGAAATAGTTGATATCGTCCCAATTGACATCCTTCATCGTCTTTAAAATGTGACATTTTCGAGATTGGTAAGTATCCTATCAGGACTGTAGCATGTTTTGATGGCTGACGATGAATTTCTTTCTTGATGTTGCCGATGGTTAGATATATCGGCCAGGCAGCTTTGTCTCCACAAAATCGGGTCAAGTTTGTTTTGTCGGATGCCAGGATCATGGGAGCGACAACAGCACCAGCTGGAAGACGTTCCTACAACTCAAGGTGAGTCAATAGTATCATGCCTCAGACTGTCAGTCAACTAACCTGCATATTCCACCACCAGTCACCCATCCACATCTCATCATAGACTCGTGTCTTTCCTTCAGCATCTGCAAACACATTTTCTGGCACATAACCAAGGTAATCCTTGAATGCAGGATTCCTGATTAGCTCACGCACACACTCAACAGGGTCTCGGCGCCAAAGTTCATGTTGTTCAGTGAGTGGCTCATCATTTCCATCCATTTGATCACCTGTTGATGTGACTATGTCACAAGTCCAACCAGGTCCTTTGGGCAGTTTGTTGAGTTTCTTTTGGAATGTGTAGTTGCTTGTATGTATAGCTGGGCTGAGTTCACATATTGCAGTAACATATCTCCGTATTATACGAGTGAACGGATGTGCATAATATCCCGTATGATACGGGCCAGCGGACCATGGGCCGAAGGTAGATATATCCTCGACTGTGACGGATGGGCCGGGAGTGTTATTATTCCCGATGGAGACGGGTTGGCCCAGGTGGGGAATATGTAAAGTAGATGGGTGGGCCGATGGACATGAATTTTCAATAGACGGATCGGCCGAGGTAGTTGGATATTATGTAGATGGGTGTACCAAGGTAGATATGTATCAAATAGCCGGGTATATCAAGGGTGCTTGTTATCACATAGACAGGTGGGCCCAGATATATATCATATTAGACGGGTGGGCCGACGAATTAATATTATTTTGTAGACGGGTGGGCCGATGTATTGGTATTATTTTGTAGACGAGTGGGCCGAGGGAGCGGTGAAAGATTTATTATATACGGGTGGGCCAATGGTAGACATATATTGCATAGACGGGTAGGCCGACGTAGGGGGTATATAATATAAACGGTGGGCCCAGGAGAATGATAATTGTAGACATGATGGAGCTCAGCTAGTTGTATATCATGGAGGTAATAATTCAAAGTCATCTAATGATGTAGTATGGCATGGAGCCTTGCAAAGGGGTGAAGTGGAAACTCGAGCAAAGTGTACCAAGTTCCGAGACCCGGGTCTCGACAAATGAATATGTGATGTCCAGCACACTTCCGATCGTCTGGTATTTCATTGAGCAATATATGATAATAGATCTTTGAAAGCCAACATCATCCAAGCCTACCAAATGCCAAATGCCAAGTTCCAACTACCGAAAATCAAGTGAAGTGTACCAATATCCGAGCCCTGACTATCAAATCCCGACAATCGACCATTGAGTCCCGACTACCGAGTCTTGAAACCCGAGTCCCAAAGCCCGAGATTTGAGTCCTGAAACCCAATGCCCGACCATTGAATCCCAACAATCGAGTATCAAGTCCCGACCAACGAGTCCCAAATATTGAGTCCTGACCATCGAGACCCAACACCCAACACCCAACACCCAACACCCAACACCCAACACCCAACACCCAACACCCAACACCCGACAACCGACAACCGACAACCGACAACCGACACCCGACACCTGAGATTCAAGACTCAAGTTCCGACTATGGAGTCCCAGATATCAAAAATCAAGTGAAGTGTACTGAGATCCGAGTCCAACCTGAAGGATTCCTTAGGCTGGACTTCCAAACCTTTGGATTTGTCCTTCCATCTCCATCCAAGCTTAAGGATTGATTCCTTAAGCTGGACCTTTGCCTTTCTGGCACTTCCTGTCTTTCCAAGACTTATGTCTACTTCCTGTTATCTCCGACTCCACCTAAGTGTAGCCTACCTCTGTTTGCTTCTACTCCAGACCTTGTCCATGGTAGTCTTTATTCTCCTGTCCTATAATCCTGTCCACTCCTGCTGACCTCCAGACCTTTGGATCTCCGGACATCTTACCCTTCGGATATCAAAACCTTTGGACATTGTAACCTTTGGACATCTGAACATTCAGATGGCGCAACCTTCAGACATCCTGTCCTCTGGACCACTCCTCCTATCTGATCCTGCTTTGGACTCTGTCCCTTGCAGTCTCTCCTCCATGTGCTTCCATCTAGGAAGCTTACCTTCAGAAGTCTTATCTTCGGACCCTATGCAGCAGGTGAAACTCCTCCAGAGTTTCCTGTACTTCTCTAGAAGTTTCTATACTCCTCCGGAAGGTTCCTGTGCTCATCCAGAAGTCCTCCAGCACTCCATCAGAGTAGCCAGTCTCCGGAAGTCCTTCGGACTTCATTGGATTTCATCTGGACTTCATTCTGAAATTAAGGGTATGTACTTGGGAAAGGTGCAAAATAAAATATACTGACTACCAAGTGCTGAGCACTAAGTGTCGAGTTCCAAGTTCCGAGTTCCGAGTTCCGAGTTCCGAGTTCCGAGTTCCGAGTTCCGAGTTCCGAGTTCCGAGTGCCAAGTGCCCCGATGCTTTCGGGTATTAACACCCAGATAGCCCACGCTCTCAGGGGCCCGTCAGAATTTAGATCATCTCAAACGGATGTGATTTGAGTGAGATATGAGCAAAATACTATATACCGGGTGAATTTTGGCATCAGAAGTTCGATGCTTTCGGGCATTGACATGAAGATAGCCCTCAATCTCAGGGGTGTGGGAGAATTCAGATTGTCTGAAATGGATATAATTTGAGTGAGATATATGCAAAATACAATATATTGACTACTGAGTGCTGAGTACCAAGTGCCGAGTGCCAAGTGCAGAGTGCCCCGATGCTTTCAGGCATTAACACCCAGATAGCCCATGCTCTCAGGGGCCCATCAGAATTTAGATCATCTCAAACAGATGTGATTTAATGTGTCCCAAGTGCTGAGTGCCGAGTCCCAAGTGCTGAGTGCCGAGTGCTGAGTTCTGAGTTCCGAGTTCCAAGTTCCAAGTTCCGAGTTCCGAGTTCCGAGTGCCAAGTGCCCCGATGCTTTCGGGTATTAACACCCAGATAGCCCTCGCTCTCAGGGGCCCATCAGAATTTAGATCATCTCAAACAGATGTGATTTGAGTGAGATATGAGCAAAATACTATATACCGGGTGAATTTCAGCATTGGAAGTTTGATGCTTTCGATGTTTTTGATGTCGGGTCTTGATGCTTTCGGGCATTAACATGTAGATAGCCCTCGATCTCAGGGGTGTGGCAAAATTTAGATTGTCTAAAACAGATATAATTTGAGTGAGATATATGCAAAATACCACACACTGACTACCGAGTGCTGAGTGCCAAGTGCCAAGTGCCGAAAACCAAGTTCTGAGTGCCAAGTGCCGAGTGCTGAGTGCCAAGTGCCGAGTGCCCCGATGCTTTCGGGCATTAACACCCAGATAGCCCTCGCTCTCAGGGGCCTGTCAGAATTTAGATAGTTCCGAGTGCCAAGTGCCGAGTTCCAAGTGCCGAGTTCCGAGTTCTGAGTGCCCCGATGCTTTCGGGTATTGACACCCAGATAGCCCTCGCTCTCAGGGACCTGTCAGAATGTAGATCATCTCAAACGGATGAGATTTGAGTGAGATATGAACAAAATACTATATACCGGGTGAATTTTGGCATCAGAAGTTCGATGCTTTCGATGTTTTTCATGTCGGGTCTTGATGCTTTCGGGCATTAACATGTAGATAGCCCTTGATCTCAGGGGTGTGGCAGAATTCACATTGTCTCAAATGGATATAATTTGAGTGAGATATTTGCAAAATACTATGTATATACTGACTACCGAGTGCTGAGTGCTGAGTTTTGAGTTCCGAGTTCCGAGTGCCAAGTGCCGAGTTCTGAGTGCCGAGTTCCGAGTGCCGAGTTCCGAGTGCCGAGTTCCAAGTGCCGAGTGCCCCGATGCTTTTCGGGTATTAACACCCAGATAGCCCTCGCTCTCACGGACCCGTCAGAATTTAGATCATCTCAAACGGATATAATTTGAGTGAGATATTTGCAAAATACTATGTATATACTGACTACCGAGTGCTGAGTGCCGAGTTCCGAGTGCCGAGTTCCGAGTGCCGAGTGCCCCGATGCTTGCGGGTATTACCATCCAGATAGCCCTCGCTCTCAGGGACCCGTCAGAATTTAGATCATCTCAAACGGATGTGATTTGAGTGAGATATGAATAAAATACTATATACCGGGTGAATTTCAGCATCAGAAGTTTGATACTTTCGATGTTTTTGATGTCGGGTCTTGATGCTTTTGGGCATTAACATGTAGATAGCCCTTGATCTCAGGGGTGTGGCAGAATTCACATTGTCTCAAATGGATATAATTTGAGTGAGATATTTGCAAAATACTATGTATATACTGACTACCGAGTGCTGAGTGCCGAGTTCTGAGTGCCAAATGAATACCACACACTGACTACCGAGGGCTGAGTACCAAGTGCCGAGTGCTGAGTGCCGAGTTCCGAGTTCCGAGTTCCGAGTTCCGAGTTCCGAGTTCCGAGTTCCGAGTTCCGAGTTCCGAGTTCCGAGTGCCAAGTACCCCCGATGCTTTCGGGTATTAACACCCAGATAGCCCACGCTCTCAGGGACCCGTCAGAATTTAGATCATCTCAAATGGATGTGATTTGAGTGAGATATGAATAAAATACTATATACCGGGTGAATTTTGGCATCAGAAGTTCGATGCTTTCGATGTTTTAATGTCGGCTCTTGATGCTTTCGGGCATTGACATGCAGATAGCCCTAGATCTCAGGGATTCATCAGAATTTAGATAGTCTGAAATAGATATGATTTGAGTGAGATATATGCACAATCCAAGATACAGGGTGAATGAGTCCCGAGTGTTGAGTGCCAAGTGCTGAGTTCTGAGTTCTGAGTTCCGAGTGCCGAGTGCCGAGTGCCGAGTGCCGAGTGCTGAGTGCCCTGATGCGTTCAGGCATTCAATCACTGTCAGGAGGTGTTCCCTCATCCACCTCAGTGCCTTCAGTGTTGCAATCAAGCTTTCTGCTGTGTGCTGAGTGCCGAGTGCCGAGTTCCGAGTTCCGAGTTCCGAGTTCCGAGTTCCGAGTTCCGAGTGCCCTGATGCTTTCGGGTATTAACACCCAGATAGCCCTCGCTCTCAGGGACCCGTCAGAATTGAGATCATCTCAAACGGATGTGATTTGAGTGAGATATGAACAGAATACTATATGCCGGGTGAATGTTGGCATCAGAAGTTCGATGCTTTCGATGTTATTGATGTCGGGTCTTGATGCTTTCAGGCATGAACATGTAGATAGCCCTCAATCTCAGGGGTGTGGCAGAATTCACATTGTCTCAAACAGATATAATTTGAGTGAGATATTTGCACCATACTATGTATATACTGACTACCGAGTGCTGAGTGCTGAGTTTTGAGTTCCGAGTTCCGAGTGCCAAGTGCCGAGTTCTGAGTGCCGAGTTCCGAGTGCCGAGTGCCCCAAGGCCTTCGGGTATTAACATCCAGATAGCCCACGCTCTCAGGGGCCCATCAGAATTTAGATCATCTTAAACGGATGTGATTTGAGTGAGATATGAGCAAAATACTA